ATCTCAAACATATGAATATTTATTTCAGCCTATATCAGATTGTTTTCGGGAGGGCATGGATAATCAGAATTATATTTGATTTTAAACAGAGACAGTAGCAATAAATAAATCATCTCAAATTACTTTTCAAAAGAAAATTTTTTAAATTTTACAATAGAGTCTACCTTAATATCTAGGGCCTAATCTGTGAATATAATGTGCATACATCTATGTTAAAAGTGATTCAGCATTAAATCTTCTTTTTTCATATGTTTTCTCTTTTTATCTTACATCAGGATGTGATTTATTTTGATGTATTTAATTATCATTTTTTTTGCTACCCCCTAAAGGGAATTTATGTTTAAGGGGTTTTTTTGGGTTTTTTTTTTTTTTTCTGGTGGGGTGGGATTACAGAATCAATGAAGAAAAAAATGCACTCATTCTCCTCAATTAGAACTTTATGTCAATCAGCATTTCTTTGCTCTGTAGATGATAATGAGGTTGGATTTCATTTAGAGGAAGTCAAAAATTCATCAAGTGAAGAAGAATGAATAAAAACAAAAACAATACTAAAAATAAAAATCCTTTGAACTAAACATTTCTCTCTCTCTCTCTCTCCCCTCCCATTCCTCCTCTCTCTCTCTCTCTCTCTCTCTCTCTCAAGAGACTCTTGTTGTAAGCCACTTCTCTGTCATTGGGACATCAGAGTGCTAGTATGTCTTTAGATGTTTATAAATAAAAAAATATATATGTCAAAATTGCTAAAAGTTCAAGTAGGTAATAACCTAATGACAAGTCTTCTTGTGGTGGGGTGGGGGGTTATGTTCATGGTTTACAAGCTGACCCTAAAAACTTCTCATTAAAAAGAAAATGAATTCTTTATTTTGATCACTGGGTAGAGAAAAGCAGGCATATTTTTAAGAAATTTTTTTTTTCTGTATACTAAGCTCAGATCGCAACAAATGTTATCAAACATATTGCTGTCTAATTCATTGGTAAAATTGCTTTGCTTAAATACATTTTCTGTTGAATGTGAGCTTTTTATATTTGATATATAAAGGAAAGTAGATTTTTTCATAATTATTATAAGTCTGCTATATAAAGTCTTGCCAAAAGTTTTATCATCTTACCAATGCTATAATTTATTTTAATAAATGTTATTATTTTCATGCCAATTGAATATATTGAAGTGTAAGTATCATATCTACTGAAAAGAATATCATCAAAATTATTAACCATGAAGGTGTACCTTCTTTATTTAATCTCCAAGGTCCATGTCAAATGCTTCTCAATGATTCTATAAAGTTTATTCTACTTCAAAGCTTCCTATATTCAGGGTTTATTTATATGTATTCTTTCTATGAAATACTCCAAGAAAAATTTCACTTTGTGCTGTTGAGTGGTTTTATTGTTGCTTACAAACCAATGCAAAATGAGATGTGAAATTTTGGAAATCCAACCTTTTTATGTTCTAATGATACTGACAGGCCAGAAAAGTTAACCAGCTTCTCAAATAATCCATCTAAAAATACCGGAAAAAATGTTTAAAAATAAATTTTACAATTATATTGTTCTCAAATAATGCCCTCTCATACTGTTGAGTCATTTTTCTTTTTTTTTTAGTTTAAAACTTTAAGAACACCTGTTTTATGTCACTATTAGGATCAAACTACCATTCAAAAGTTTGATACATAACGGAAAAACAGCAAGAAAAAAAGAATGTTTATATCATTGTAATAATCTCTAACTTGCATATTAATATCTGTCTATATTTCTGTGATGAGGTATTGTTACTATTTACATTGTTTGGACTATTGTCCTTGTCTTTATTGTCATATTCACAATGTTTTGACCATTGTACGCTCTGGCCTTCTTCAGGTGATATACATTGGAATTTCAAATCAAACCTTTTATTTTTGACCACTTGGGTAGATTGTTCTAGTTCCATATGTCATGCCTGTTCTGGATATATCCCAGTATCAGTTATGTCCCCAAAGACACATGGTTCAGTAGATAAAAGCATCGGTCAAAGTAATCCAGTAACTTGACCCAAACTGACCACAGCAGAGGTAGATAAAAACTTGGAGAGTTAAGTTACTAAAAGGAAATAACTGAAATAGCCAGAAAAGGCATGGTACATGGAGCTAGTACAATCTTCCCCAGTCAATAAAATAAGGGGTTTAGTTCAAAATTCCAACGTATAACACCTGAAGAAGACTGGAGTGTACAACAGACAAAATGTGAATATGACAATAAAAATGAGGACAATAATCCGAACAATGTAAATAGTGTAAATTGCATATTAATAATAATAATGTTTGTGAATCTTTAAATGAACCCTATTCTGTTTTTACTTTATTCTCCATTCACTTTTTATATTTCAATCAAACTAATGTTGGATAATTAAACAGCAACATGGAAAAACACTATGTAACACATTTCATCATTCAAAAGGACTTTAGACTAAAATAATATTGTTATTGGTAGAATCCTGTATATGTAGGGAGTGAAAATATAAACAAAGTGTCTGTAATATTTATACATTGAAAGGAAATGCTGAAAACTAAACTTTAAATTCAAACTTATGGCTTTTGATGTGCCTACCTTAGTATCACTACATCTTCAACATTTTCCTCTCTATATATAATTATAACCATTGTTTTTATTTATATTTCAGTCCCCGCTCACTGAAGCATATATATGATTCCATCAATAAGAACATTATTTTAGTCTGATGAAGTTCTTTTGAAGTGTGTTACATATTTATCATTCAATTACTTACCATTAGTCTTGTATATAGATTTTATATGTCATATTTCTTCCATTTTTCATTCATCATCGGTTACTGTTTTTCAGTTCAATGCTTTTCTCATAGTTTTACTCTTAGACTTTCTATTGAATTATTCTTTGATAACATGTCATCTTTTTTTTTAATTGATAAGATACAGCAAAGTTTAAAATAATTGGGTGGATAAAATCAGAATTCTGTGTTCACCATGTGGCCATTTTTTTTTTCTCTACAAAAATCACTAGTAAACATAAAAAGGTAAAAAATGGTTACAAGAAACTTGTACAAAGATTACACCAAAACATAATTTATCACTTTACTTGCACTAACACAACATAGACTTTGAAATATGGCCATTTTGAATTGGCAAAATGAAGATTTTAATTGAAACTGAAGTAAACTTTCAAATGATTTTGGATGGAAAAAATCTTATATTTGAAATGAATTATCAATGCAATAAACCATCATCCATTTAATGTTGATTCAATAATATTAATATTATTTTGATATTCATGATGTGAACAGCTTGTATTACAAGTTTTTTTTATTATAAATACATTATTAAGCAATCAGGGAAAGTTGATATGAAGAAGCTGTATCTTTTGTTTCGTCTGTTTGGCCTTGATTTTTATTGTTCACACTTTAAGTGGATAGTTTTGGGGGGATTTTTTTATATTTTAATAATTTTCTTTTAGATTTTTGCTAAATGAAAAACTTTCTGTATATTTTATTTAAAATAGACTATTTTTTTCTTTGGTTTCTCCATCATCTAAAATTTCTCCAGAAAATAATTTGCGCAAACCAAATCACTAAGAAAAAAAGTATAGGCTCTAAAAACTTAAATATAATTTATAATATTGAAAATCAGAAGAGTTCAATTTTATTTTAATTTTTATGCAAAATTTGAAAACTTAATTATTTTTAACTTATTTTGAATATTATAATTTTATAAAAAAAAAAAAATTATGAATTATATTTTATCTGATAAATTCTAATTTTAAATAAAAATAGGAGACTACACTTTGGATATCTTGTACATTGAGTGAGAAATAACCAGAAAACTGTTGTGGATAAAATCATTAAATCTTCAAAACTATTTCTATTTTTGTGCTTTGTTTTGTTGCTAAAATTTGTTTGTCAGTTTGTCAAGCTTAAACAGCCAGTCACTTTGGAAAAAATGTCTTTCATAAATTCAGAAATCTTTTGGTCCCCTCTTCCCAGACTATTGAGGTTTACATGAATCACTTCAATACAAGCAAATCTTATTTGATTTCATTTGTAATTAATGCAACTTTAATTATAAAATAAAGATAGGAATAAAGCAGAAAAGCAAACCAACTTTAGTTTCTAACTTGAACAATGTATTCTAAAATCTTTTCTTTTTCATTTACCTAAAATTCAATTTATATATCTGCTCTGTGTGTACATTTCTTTTTTGTTGCTGTTTTCTTTTTAGTTAGTATAAAACAACTTTCTACCCAATCTCAGGACTATGAAATATTTTTTTAATTTAGTGTTTAAGTTTCTAATATGATCCAAATATATCCCCCAACTATAAATGCTCTTAACATTCCAAACATTCATCCACAATATGTTTGTTATTAGAGAATTATCACATGGGAAAGTGACAAAAATGAAACCAGTCTTCCTCTCATGCTATTTGTCACATTTATTTTACACATGCACCACACATTTCTGTGTATATCTCACATCCACTATTTTAATCACTATTAAATCTTTTCAATAGTGTCATTTTAGTGGTATACTTTTATTAGATCTCATAAAAAGAGCCTGATAAATATGTTTCTTACTTAATTCTTCAAAGGAAACAAAAATATGATTATTATTCCGTTAAAACAATATAAGTTGTCTAACATGTTTCACACTTAGGTTTTACAATAGTGATTTTGGTAAAAATTTAATTGGGAAATAGTTTCTAGGTGTATGAAATTAATAGTATTTGACAAATGATTTAAGCCTGCTGTAAAAAAAAAAATATTCAGATACAAAGAGTATATAAATTAATGACCCAGTAAAGAAATCTACTACATCTGAAATAATTGTAGGTAGATTCATGTTAAATGTCTCCCTTATATAAGATTGACCTGAATCCCATTCATATTTCTTATTACTCTATGCATCTTGTATTTTCAAAGTTTTTAAATCATCTGCCTTCATTTCTTCTGTTGGCAGTTTCTACCACTGCTTTGCAATTCATAATCTTGCCTTCTAGAAATCAATTCTTTTTCTTTTTGGCAGCTTTTTTTTTTTTTTTTCTTTCTTCTTTTTTCTCTTTTTCTTTATTACTATTTTTCACATCTGTAAATCTCTTCTTTTCCTTTTTGACTTTTTCTTTTGTATTCTATTATTTTTGTTTTTCTTTTCTTCTTTTCTCTTTTATTTTCTCCTTTTTTTTTTCTCTTTTTCCTTTTCTCTTTATCACCATTTTTCAATTCTCTAAATCACTTCTTTTTTTGTTTTCTACTATTTTACTTTGATTTTCTCTTTTCTTTTTGACTATTTCTTTTGCATTTTACTTTTTTTTTCTTAGTTTTTCTCTTTTTCTTTTCTCTTTATCACCATTTTTCACTTCTCTAAATCACTTTTTGTTTCCTACTATATTTCTTTTTTCTCTCTTTTTCCCTTTTTCTTTTTCTCTATTTTTCACTCCTCAGCGCTATGTTCTACATGATCAAGGGCAATATTCACATATAAATGAATCAGGAACATTTATGTAATCAAATAATAACATGTAAATAAAATTGTAGTTGAATTATCTTATCATATTTGTATGTCATTAACAAATTCTAACTCAGAACATTCCAATTGTGTATATATATATATATATATATATATATATATATATATATATTTATATATATATATCATAACAGTGATCATAAGTAATAAAGCCACCCTGACTCTTAAAAGTATAGAAATTGACATGAAGAAGAAAAAAATGATAAAAAAAGAAACAATTTGAAAAACAAGTTTCATTTCTTTCTGAAGGGCCAAGTTAAAAAAAGATATAAAAAAAACAGTCTTTTAGTCAACACATTTTTATATTAAAAAAAAATACAATTATTTTATTAAACTGGCTTTAATTTTATAAACATGATTGAATGAAAAGAATTTTTTTTTCCTTGAAATTTTTTATGAAGTAAATGAAACTCATGCATGTGTTTCTGTATAGCTTATATTAAAAAGGAAACATTGCTAATTCAGATTATGTTTTTTGGTCTGTAAAAATGAATTCACTTCAAATATTGATTTTTTTTTCTTGTACACTTACCAATGTCAAGAAATTGTAAGCATGTATTATGATTATTGATGTTTTAGGATGGACAGACGCTTGTTTCAAATTTCTGTGCAAGTAAATAATTAAAGTGAATAATTATCATAACTATTTTTTATTAAAGGAGAGTTTGAAGCTCAAGAAATTGCAAAATGCTGGATGAAAGTAAATAAAACTTTTAATCTTGATTTAGACAAGCATTGCTTATTGTTTCCCTTGCAATATTTTAACCAGTTATCTGCAAATCTGGGAACTTCCTGAGAAATTTAATCTGAACCTTTTATTTCAAAATGTGGTCTTTTTTTTTTTGTCTCTAAATGGTTTTGCCATTGAGCAGTTCAGTGGTTTAACTGAGCAGCATGCTTTAATAGTGTTACCTATATGATGTTTTCTTGAGTTATTATGTATTGGCAGGACTCAGCTCCAAACTTTGCTTACAGATATTGTCTTTCATTAGTGCCATATGTGCCACTCTCCATTGTATATATTTTTTACTTGGGCTCTTTGTCCCAAAATTCATTAAATTTTTAGACTTTAAAAAAATGTTAATGACCAGTTTAAAAATGTGGAAAATTTTTTTAAATTATTTCTAATAATTAAATCCATTGTTAATATTGATGTAATAAAGGCAGTTCCGTTATTATTATTATTATTATTATTAAAGATAATACTGTTACTTCCTCTAAGCTGAAACAATAATATTTTTAATAAAATTGTATTATTAATATTAAAGTATTTGGTTTCTTTATGGTATCTATCGTAAATATTCTTACAAATTAGCTGCCAGCATGATTCTTACAAGCAGTAATAAGATATTTTTTATCCGATATGGAGCCTAGACTGGCATAGGAACCACTTCTCTACATTGGAAATATGCCCAAGAACATGCTGTAGCAACTGCAGACAACAGGGAGCTTCCTCTTAGTGCAATAGGGAGGTATTTGTATAAGGGACATATCTCTTCTGTTAAATCTATTGTAACTACTCATGATGTTCTTGTTTAAATGCAAAAAACAGAATTCACTATGAATCAATCTTCTTTTTATTGCCTGTGTTAACTATTGTTTGTTTTTTTTCGTGGGGGGGGTTCATGTAGAAAACAATTTATGTCAGTGTTATAATTATTGCCTCTAAATTGCTGTAGATGCTATTTCTACAACTATATTGACTAAAAGTGTTTGTTATGAATGGAAACGGGATTTATATTGATATCGTTATACATAAACATTTGGCATTCATGTTATTGTTATTAACAGTAATAAGATTATTATTAATATCTATATTTAACATATTTTTAATAAAAATATTTCTATTTGTCTGATTTTATGTTAGCTATTTGGTTTATTATTTTGATTTCTCTATACTTGTTACCAATCTTACTATAACTGGATTTTTTCTAAATAATATTCTTAATATTATTGTTGCTGTTGTTGTTGTTATTATTATTATTATTATATATTCCTTCATAGCCAAATTGTTTGGTAAGTTCTGTAGAAGTGACAAGAAATCATTGTGGAACTCTTGCACTTTCTTACTATTCTTGACATATATTGTGTCTGGTTTGATTTTTGATTTTTCTCTCTCAAATTCTAATTTGTTCTGGTCTTTCCTTGAAAGACCTTGGACCTGTTCCCAGTAACCATTCAGTAATAGGGGTGACTGTTACTTGCGTACTGCATTCTTTCTAAAATACTTGTGTTAATTTGTACTACATCCAATTCACTTCCCCTTTAAATCCCCCCCATGGTCTGCTGGTACAACTATGACTACAGATTGGCATATCTTCTTTTCTTTAATGATAATGATTTGTTCATGTTTTCTGGCCAGGGTTCGGCTGCTGCTACTGCTACTACTACTACTACTACTACTAATTATTATTATTATTATTATTATTATTATTATAGGGAAATTATTTGTTGATCATTTTCAGAAATTTTTTTTTTTTTTTACTATTGTTTACATGTTTTGACAAAAGGGAAAACATAGAAATATATATAACTTTGAAAAACAAAAAAATGTAAAATACAAAAGATATTTCTTTTTTTTCCAAAGCAATGAATTGTATAATGTAAAAAAAAGTATTTTTTCAAAATGTTTCAGTTAATGGTCATACAAAAAGATATTTATGTTATGTTGAAAGAAGACACCAGAAATATTATAAGAATATATAAAAACACACTATATATATAATATATATATATATATATATATATATATATATATATATATATAAAGATGTGCAAATTTGTGGGAAAAAGTGTACATAAATGTGTGTTGGTGCATTCCTATATTAGGTATGAGTGTATGTGCCCAATATTCTATTCTGCCTGAATATAATCAAACCTATTTGTAAATTTGGAACAATTTAGAAACTTCTCTAAACTTCTTTGTCCTGCTGATTATGTACTTTGATAAGTATTGATTTTTCATTCAGACAGAAAAATATATACATAACATTATATGCATATGATATAAATATATATACAAGGAGTACTGAAAAGATCTTGACCCAAATGACTTCCCAAAATCAGTATTCAGGATTTTTGAGAATTGGGTCAGGACTAGAATTTTTCAGCATTTGTTGTTGTTTTTTGTATATTTTAGAATTAATTCTTTTTGTAAGTTAAAAATATAACTCCCATCTTATATATGTCTTAGAATTCCTTTTCTAAGTTAAAATACAACTCTTTTATATATATATATATATCATAATTAATTCCTTCTGTAAGTTAAAAATAGAATTCTTTTTTTATATTTTAGAATTAATTCCTTTGTAGGTTAAAAATATAACTCCTTTTTATATATATATTTTAGAAAGAATTCCTTCTATAAGTTAAAAATATAACTTTTTTAAAAATTTTTGGGAAATCTTTTAAATTTACTTATTTTGTAGGGTGGGTAAGGTATATTTGTAAATTAATCTCTCTGAATTAGTTTTGTTTAGTTTATTCTACAGAATTAAATCCTGGAAATGAGTCAAAGGAAAATAATAAAATTACCAAGAGATCCGTTTTTAATTTCTTCATAATACGAGAAGATGGGAGAGATCTCAGAGTAAACATACGCAAAGTCATACCTTTCAAGAAATACTTTCTACATAGATATTTATACATGTGCATATATGCTTTCTCACACATATTCACATATATATGAATGCCCTTGCACACATGAAACAGGGAATGAAAGTGAAATAAAGATTTGAAATTTTACCTCATTAAGAGTTTTTGTTTATATTTCTTTTTTTCATTTTTTTTTTTTTGTATTTTTTTATTCTCCTTGGTAAGTATCCCATTGTGTCACTTAACAGCCTTTATCAATTATGCATTCCAGATAGGTTTTTATTGTTTCAGGAGGACAAAGGAGAAAATCAAACCTTACCTCAAAAAAGAATTTGTGTTCTCTGTGCTGTTTGTTAAAAGGGCAAAAAATGAAAATTGAGATTCGGTCATCTTTGGTAGGCTTCAAAATATGGTAAATATTTGTGCTTACCCTACCAGTCTCTACTAATCATACAACCTTTCTTACCTCAATAAAAGAATGCTAATTTGGACGATGGGAATTTCTTTTTTTACTCCTTTTGATTTATGCTGCCAGCATTTTTTACTTTGGAATTGTGAGACTGATTACCCTTTGGAATTTATGATCACAGACTTTTGATTTTGGGATCTGAACGTCCCATTGCTATTTTCACATATTTTTTTTAATTATATAAAGAAATTTACATTAAAATTGAATCTATTTGCATGACACCAAATCAAAGTTAACTGAATACAATATTTCTCCATTGTTCATCAGGATTGGGACAATGTCCTGTTTTATCAGTGCTTTTATTTCCCAGAAGAAAAAGCCTTTGATAAATACCATATATACTCAGGTATAAGCCTACTTTGTGTATAGTGCAATCCCCTGAATTTCTTTTGTGTAAAACCTGACTTTTTCATATACCTTGTGTATAATGCAACCCCAGTTTCTGAGCAATGCTAGTAAGCCTACTGTAGTTAGGTATTGCAGTACTGGGCATCCTCTTGAACAAATAAATGGTCTGCATTCTTTTATGTAAAAATAATGCCAGTAAATGTAAAAATATAATAAATAAGTATAAATAAACAGTAGAAGACAAAGTAAGGAAGACAACAGAAACATATGCAGTATAACTATGTATCAGA